CCCCCGCCTCCCCCCGCCTCCCTTATTATTCGTTGGGCTCGCTGTTGCCGATATCTGCTGCTTCCTCCAATTAAAAGGATAAAAAGGAAATATTCACTCTTTCCGAGAGTTATAAAATTGAGGTGCAACTATGGTGTTGGTTGGAGACATGGTTAATTGACAACAGGTATTGGCGTTTCTATATTTGTAAGCATAATCACTATCCAAATTAACTCACCAGATTCTATGTCACTGGAGTGTTCGGCATCCGAGTTAACGTGACTATCACCATTGCTTGCACTGACATCTATGATTTAACGAAGACAAAAAAAGGCGTGTTAAAAGAAATTGCGACGCACAAAACACAAAATAATCATCAGACAATAAGCTTAGTATGAGTCAGCGAGGCGGGACAATAGTTATTAAATTAACAGGAGAGAGAGAGAGGATAATGAGCACTAAAAAGGGTGAGTAATTAAAGTACAAGTATAAGACAATTATGTAAGTTTAAGTGTCCAGTACATCTCTCAAAGAAGGGCGATTTGCCATCAGTCCTTTTGGGACTTTTTAGTGCAAGAGGACAAAAAACTACGTTCCTTCAGGGCGAAAAAGGGGACTTAGTGGAAAATGGATTCGCCCAAGGTACTTTGGAAAGATTGCACGCAAAGCGATTTAGAGGGCCCAAATTAAGGAATAGGGCTTCAAGAAAAGTGGAATTTCCTTCGAGGTGAAGGATCTTCAATGAAAATTGACTTGGAATATTAAAGAAAGGAATAATTGGGTGCTTTCAATGAACTCAACCCTTTCCGTAACTTCAAATAGAATGTGGAAGACTTTCCATCTCCGCGACGCATCACAATGGTGTTTAAAATGTCAATAAAATTTCTAGTCATTATTATTAAAAACAATTCGGTTCGTCTGGGAACAAGCATAGAATTTTATGCGAATCTCCCTTACGAGACCACATCTACTTCAGCGACACATTTTAGACTGCCAAAGAGCGAATCCTTTTCGGAAATTAAAATGTTGGTCGCCTTACCATTCCTCTTCGGACAATATTATTAATTAATTGATTACATCTATTAGGTGTCCTATTAACTGATGTTACTCATTCAGACTATTTGATTAAAAAGATGTTTCAAAAAGAAAAGCTTGACAGGCCTAGAGTGAAATTGAAGCGTTTTCAACATGAAACTAGGAATCTGTGTCTTCTGCTCTGTATACACACACACACACACACACACACACACACACACACACACACACACACACACACACACACACACACACACACACACACACGATTTCAGATTTACTTCGTGGCAGAACAGACAAATTTCGAAGAAATTGATAGTGACACCTATAACGCCCTTCGAGCTACGAAGGTGTTATCTGGTACAGTTAAGGCAAGAATTTTAGCTCATTTTAACTGTCTAGTTCGTAATTTTGTATAATGGTGAGTCTTACACGAAACCACTAATCTTACTAAATTTCAAGCGTTTTAGTAGCTGTAATTCGTTGATAACGAATAAGAAACACTTCAATCTATCCTTAAATTCGTAGGTTCGAATCATAATAACGACCCGCCCCCCCCCCCCCCAAAAAAATAGCCCCTTCCTAAATTGAATTCTTCAGAACAAACTAGTACTAGTAGAAGAAGATTCCGATATAATTAATGTTGGAGTCACAAATGATGACCATAAAGCGAAAAGTAAGTAAAAGTCGATGACATCATCTCACAAAAGTAGAGCTATGCATAGCTAGCGTGAGAGGCTTTTAATAGACCGCTCAAATCCATTATCTAGCAAGTGTTTCAAATGCTAACTGAGGTTGGGCCGAAATATGAGGATGATTGACTTCTGCTTGGTGTAATAAGTGATCTAATTTGTCTATATGACCAAAAAAAATTGAACAATATTTTAAGATGTGCTCTCCTGATAGCCTTCTGACTCCTGTGTATGTAGTCTCCAATGAGCTAATTTGACAAAAAAAACTGCAGAGCGGATGAAATTTTTGAATAGTCTGTTAACTCAGTATCAGTATTATTGAAGGCGAAGCACAGCTTACTCGAACTCCATTGTAAAGTCTCATCTGTAATACGCGCGAAGAATACTTCACTGTAAACATTCATCCAAACTCAATGCGATATTCTAGTGAGAGGAAACTTAACCTACCTGTTGGGGTGTCCGAATCGCTAGAAGTCTCAATTTCACAAACTCCAGATGTTGAAGATTGTGTTGCAGATGGAGATGCTTTGAAAGTCAGCTGTTTGCCAGAAACCCACTCAGGAGAGAAGTCGTGATTGGCGCTGCTGGGGTGTTGCGAACTCGCAGAGGGGAAGAGGAGTTCTACAACCGCCCTAAGAAGACCTTTGTCAAAGCGATCCGTCCAGAGCTCAAATGGGATTTTGGCGAGGGTTTCACTGAACCATTTGTCCCGATCGCCAAACTCCGAGGGCCGGAGATCGTCGCTGTCTACACGTTGATAGACTGTGATGTCAGGCATCAGGGACCATTCTGCAAAGTATTCCACGGCCTAAATAAGAGGATCCATAAAGATATTTGTAGGAATATTAGCATCAATTTTGGGTTCACTCGACAAAACAATTACTTAATAACATAGAAGTCTATTATTCAAGAAATGGTCGTTTAGGTTCTCCTGCTTTAGCTATTTGCCATTGCTTTTTAGTCATGGGCATTCCTAAACCCTTGTTTGCACACGAAAAATGAACTTTCATTTTATTTTCATTATCGCTTTTGGACTGTAATGACAAATGTCGTAGATGAATGTGCCACAAATACTAGGCCCCGGTAACTTAAAGCGTTTAAGCGGTTCTTATCAGCTACATCGAATTGTAAAATGCTGAACCGCCTGTAAGAAAATTTGGTCCCTCTCTCAACCATTAGTAGAAAGGAGAAAAAACGGAATGAGGCAGCAGTATCGTCTATGCGCCATTAGTGCATGGAACAACAATTTTTGAAATCCAGAGAGAAGAATTATGTGAAATTAAAAGTCTGGAAAGCAACTTGCCTATCGGGCCAAATATTCAATTATTATTGAATTATTCAATTCAATCAATGAAGTAAGCCTTTTTGGCACCCTGGCGTTATTCTCTGTTGCATCATAATGATACCCTCCTTCTCTTGGCACTTACTGGGACTTCCCGTTAACCGATTTCATTTACCACCCACAATATGTTTGCTATTACTCTGAATAATAATAATAATAATAACTATTTTTTACTATTTTTTGACATTGTACCATGATAAATGGAGCATCCGAGGCATTACAGAGAGAAATGGCAGGAGCTCAAATATGGATCACGAGGAATTCACGCCAGTGCGCACTGAAGAGTTATAAAAGCGTCAATTAGTTAATTGTTGTCTTCACTTCTAGCCCATTCGGTTGAGAGAGTAAATCCCCACCAGAGTAACCTCCTATTTACATATATATATACATAACTTTGAATATTCCACCCAAAGAATCTTCAATTGTGCTTCACAGATGAGAGTAGCCGAAACTATTATCAAATAATTATGAAATATAATCATAGGCGGAATATTTAATCTTGATTAAATTATTATTATCATCATATATATTTGTAACCCATTCCTATGTGAAGCGAAAATCGGCCAAAATATGTGCTCAGAGCATTTTACGGATACATAGGTAAATATAGTAAAAAAAAACATTTTTAAATCGTCAGGTCAATGTTATTGCTTAATTTGAAGCAGCAAAATTTTCAAAAAATGTCAAAAGTACAAGACTTCGGAGAAGTCAGTTTTAATATTTTTATTTATTAGGCAAATAAACAGCACAAACCGTGCTAGAACTCGTGTACTTGAAAAGGGAAGATTTTTTGTTAGTCGAAAGAGACACCAAGACTGTAAGGAAGAAAGTGACGTAGCAATCGTCCTGCTGATTGGTTAACGATCAAATGAAAACTTGCCCTCAACTCAGCTGATGTCAATATTTAATCTACCTTACAGCAAGCTGGAACTTAAAAGTCATGCAACCTTTTACGCTTAAATCGCTTTTCTGATGGATTCATAACTAATTGATTTCTAAAGCACTTGTGGATTAAAAGGGTGCTTCTATATTGGCAAGCTGGGGTGCGTGATAGACTTACCTCCACGTGGTGCACCCTGGGCAACGTATACTCATACGGCAAAAAAGTCTATTAACTGGCGATTGACTTCTGGCGCAGTACTCATCCTACCTTTTCTCTGCCTTCATGTCTGTCTCTTTACATCTTTAAATCACTCTTCTGTTCCCCACCCCTCGATTTTCTGTTACTTTGATGTTCCTCCCCCCTGTGAAGTCCGAAGTCAGCTAAAGGGCTAATGATAAATATCAAAACGCCTGCCATTTGAAATAAATAAATATTGGCAAGCTTTGTTAATAATTCGCTTTGGGCATTACAATTATACTATTATATGAAAAAAAAACAGTATCAATTACTTCAGTCGAATTCAAAGATGGACAAAAAATACAAATATGCGTCTATGCTTAGGATACGCTTCTAGCCATGTGATAAATATGTTTTGTTTGAATCAAAAGGACAAGGAGAGCTCTCTGAACAACAAACTCAGATAACTCATTTCTGTCAACAATTCTCCATTACTCAAGCGAAGCGTTGGAAAATTGGGCTTTAGAGATTCCATTGCTATCTTTAATTCCAAAAGCCTAAAAGTAATTTCAAAAACAAGTGCTCAATGCGATTAACGGCGTTAGATTTCAGGAAATAAGTGGTAAACAATTGGCATTTTAAACAACGGAAATAATCTCCTTTGTTGGGCAAATGATTCCTATCACATGATAAACGCATTAAGCTGGTTCATTAAATAAAAGTAGGCCATAAATGAGAATGTCTGTTAATCAAAAGAGAATAGTATTCATTAAAACAAATACTAATTGAACAAGTCCAATTTGTGCATCTATAAACAGAGAGTATTTTGTCCTATTAATAAATATGAATATGAACTCTGTTGGCTGAGAGAACCGTTTATTCTCTGCACAGTTAGGTGATTGAGAACTCCCAAAGCTAGAAACTTGAAGGCAGGTTTGGCCTAAAGTCCACAGTTGGCCAACCCCCCCC